AGACTGGGGTCTTGATCCTTGGGAACTGAGAATTATCACGTAGGTGGCTGGGCCTACTCTACCCTGCCCTGCCCACCCTGCCTTGCCCTATACCTGTACTGGACCATCGCATCTGCCACTACTGAACACCAGAGAAGTGCCAGGTGTTCCCCCAACTCCTGCATGTTCAAGCTTGCTCAAGCAGCAGGTCCCCTAACTCAGTAAGCCCGACCCCTTCCCAGACTCTGCTTAACGCAGGGCTGGGGGGAAGGCCTCCGGGGAAGCAGTCGCTGCTGAGGGCCAAAAGCTTTCACCTGCTCACCTTTTGTGAGGCGCAGAAAAGAGAGGAGCCTAATAACCCGAGGCTGTGCCCCAAGTCCAGTGTCTGTTTAGATGTTTAGGGACCGGCTGCATGGCCTGGAATGTCCACGGGCCTGCTGTCCTCCCCTTGGCAGAGCTGGGGGACCTGCAGGTCAAAGTGAGGACTGGGGTCCAGAAGCCTGGGCTGCTGGCATTTCATAGTAATTCCTGCCTTAAGGAGCCCTCTGTTTCCCTGTCTTTCGTTACACGTTTCCTACCGAGCCGTGAACTCCTAGAAAGGAGGTGTCGTCGTCGTATTTTAACCTTCCTGTCTTCCGGAGGCAGCCTTAAATAAGGTGCACCGTGGATGGTAAGTGGTACCTGGGCTTTGCGCGCCCCCTGGTGGACATGGAGGAGCATGCCGCATCTCAGATTCCAGCAACTGCATGAAAAAGGTCGGGGCAGCAGGGCAGAAAGTTCAGGCCTGCGTCTTAAAAAAAAAAAAAAAAAAAAAAAAAAAGCTCCCTGTATGATTGTTAAGATTTTTAAAGGCAATTTTTTACAAATGTATTTATTTTGGGGGCTGGCTCCATGACACAATAGGCTAAGCCTACATCCCACATAGGCGCTGGTTCAAGTCCCAGCTGCTCCACTCCCATCCAGTTCCCTACTCATGGCTTGAGAAAGCAGCGGAGGATGGCCCAAGCCCTTGGGATCTTACATCACACGGGAGATACAGAAGATGCCTCCAGTTCCTGGACTCAAATCAGCTCAGTTCTGACCATTGTACCCAGAGAGTTCTTCCATCTGCTGGTTCACTCCCCAAATGGCTGCAACGGCCTGAGCTGAGCTGATCCAAAGCCAGGAGCCAGGAGCTTCTTCCATGTCTCCCACATGGGTGTAGGCTTTGGGCCATCCTTAACTGCTCTCCCAGGCCACAGGCAGGGAGTAGGGTGGGAAGCGGGACCGCCAGGATTAGAACTGGTACCCATTTGGGAACCCAGCTTGTGTAAAGCAAGGACTTTAGCCACTAGGCTACCATACCAGGCCTGAGTTTTATTTATTTTTAAAGATTTTATTTGCAAAAGTGAGAGATCTTCTATTCTCAAATGCCCACCATAGCCAGGGCTGCACCAGGCTGAAGCCAGGAGTCAGAACTCATTCTGGGTGTCCCATGTTCGTGGCAAGGATACAACTGCTTGGAGCATCTCCTGCTGCCTCCTGGTGTGCACAGCCCCTCTGGGTCTCACTGGCTACCCCTTTAGGCAGTCAGTGGCATCCCAGAGCAGAAACCTCAGACGTTCTCGGCCGTGGGTGGACGAGGGCTGGGCACTGTCCCCTTGTGCCCTCTCCTTTCCCTCCTCCTTCTCCACCATGAGTGCCACTGATCTCTGGCATTTGGAATCCTCTCCCGCAGGGGCGGAGCCCCCCGCTGTTCCTGGTCTACTATGTCCCAGGTGACACAGAGTCCTCACTCCCTGGCTGGCTCATTTCTGACCAGCCCATTCCTGACCGGCCATTCCAGCAGCCACCAGCAGGTGGCAATAGGGGCGACTTGTGGCTGGCCTTGGACTCTGAGTGGAGCAACTTTGCTACGGGGGACAGAGTGGCTGGCCCGCCTGTGTCGGACCTGCCCTCCTTTGCTCTAGACACCCCTGGAAGTGACACCAGAATAATGGGTCTTTCCAAACACCAGCATACAACTTCTCTGTTCTGAGGTTGGGTCTGGCCATCTGGTCTACCCCAGCTCTGCTCTGTCCAGTCCAGGTGCTTTGAGGCTGAATGGTCCTCATGGAAACCCTGGAGACCCATCAGGCAGAGGACCCATGAGCTGGGACAGGCTGAGCTGGAGCCACATGGAGCCAGGTGGGAGCTGGGGTTGAGAGGGGGTGGCAAGGGCACTGGGCTGTTCGCCACACCCAGCTCCTCAGCTGCTTGGTGGGACGGAGGCCACCAGTTCCACCAGTTGCTCTGCGGGGCTTTCCCTCCAGTGGCGCACAGCTCCTGGCCGGCTCTCCCTGCACCCCTCCCCCAGTGTGGCAGGAGGGGACTTGCCCAGAGTCGCAGGCTCAGCTGGACCTGTGCTGAACATTGTGGCCTGAGGTTCTATCTGCTGTGGACAGTTTCCTTGTCATCGTTTCCTAAGCCATGCCGCAGACCACAGACAGAGTCATCTGTGTGTGCACAGTGCTGAGGGAAGGGAAGTGGCCAGGTGGGCTGGGCCTCAGGAAGTCAGAGAAGTGGGGAGAACTGCCTGGCCGCGTCCCAGCCTCTCCTTTTCTCTGTAAGTAGCTTGGACAGCGCTCCCCGGGGTAGGAGCCCCTTGTGCCCACAGCTAGCCCTGGCCCGTTCCAAGCACTGCTGCCGTTGGTTGGCCTTGTCCACTCTCAGAAACACTCATTCTCTAGCCTCTGGGACCCTCTGTGGGCTGGAGAGGGGGGAGTCGGGGGGCGTTGATGTCTGAGGGTGAGGTAGGAAGAAGCGTCCACCTTCCAGGATCCCTCCCTCAGGGCAGCGTCAGACACTTGCATGTCCAAGCTCGGGCTCACACGTGTCCCCAGAGCAGATCCTACCACCAGGTGGCCTGGCTACTGCTGGTCCTGCAGCCCCGAAATGAGCACAGGGCCAGGGGCTGATGGGACAGGGTCAGCATTTGATGTGTGGCTCTGGAAAGTGCCAGTTCCTGGGTCCATGGCTAGGACATCTCCACCGCCTTCCTTAGCTCTTCCACCCTCTGTTCTGGGGGTCACCCCTGCGTGTCACTATGTGTAGGGCAGGTCGTGGTGGCCGACTCACCGCATACGTGGGTGGGGTATGAGGGTCGCACAGCTGAAGGGGCTCCCTTGTCCAGCCGAGCAGAGTGCTTGAGCCCCCTCTGGAACGTGCCGGGGTGCAGGAGGCAGGTCCTGAGCTGTGACTGTGTGTGGGAGCCTGGGCTGGGGCAGGGACGGGGACTCCATGTGGCTTACACAAACTCTCCCAACCTTCTCAGCACCAGAAAGAGGCTCACAAAGGCCCCCAGTGTGGTGACCTGCCAGGGTGGGCAGGTGACCTGTGCGAGGCACCCTGGGCGGGGCACCCTCAGGAAGCACAAGGCGAAGGAGTGTGCCCAGGGGGAGGAGTCAGAGACAGGGTTAGGAAGGGTTAGTCAAGCAGCCGGGAGGTCCAGAGGCCAGATGGCCAGGAGCCACTGTCACTCAAACCCTGGGGAAGGGACCCTTTCATTGCCACTCCCCGACCCTGTCCCCCATCCTGTGGTTTCTGACTCAGGCTCGGGTCTGTGTACTTTCGGGACCTAGCAGGTGTTAAGCCCTGGCTGGGTATGTTCAGCCATAATGGGAAGCAGGCACGGGCGGTGCTCACTCCAGGGGGTTTGGTCCCATCATGCTGTGCAACCCACGGCATGGAACACCATTGCACAGGCTGCCTCCTGCTTCTGGTCCCTGGTGCCCGACATGGGGCCACCCTGGGGCCAAACCCACAAGGTCAAGGCCTCTTCCCGAGCTTCCCACTGTCCTTCCCACTCAGGGAAACCAGAAACTCCCTCCCATACCCTCAGGAGGTAAAGGGGAAGGGGACTCTGCCGAGGGGTCCCACGCCCCAGATCTCTTCCAGGGACCTTATGGTGGATGGACCTCCATTTGCACCAACATATGTCCCTCTGGTCTCTGAGCAGGTCCCTGCTCACTGGGAAGAGCTGCAAGCAGAGGCAGAGGCGCTGTGGCTGCCACACGGTACATCCTAAGCAGGGGACTCACCCCAGGGTGAGGCCCGTCGCCCCGCAGCCAAGAACTGCCCTTCCCCCTTGCCCAATCTCGCTTGCTCATCTTCCTCGGGGCCAGTGGACCGGCTGGGGTTGTGGGGAGGGAACAGCAGGAGTCGAGTCCCCTGGCCCGTTGGTCTTGCTGTTGGGACAGGGGATCGCATGCCCTGGACTGAGATGCGTCTCCGTGTTGAATGTCATTTCCTCTTGCTCTCGTTGCCAGCAGGAGGGAAGAGACGGGCCTGAGGACGCCAGACACAGCATGATCGTTATCATCCAAGTCCCTCGCGTGGATGATCTGTGGTTTGCTCTAGGTCACGGTTCAGTGGAGTCCCACGAGGACCTCGCAGGGACATCCGCCCGATGCCCTCGGGGCTCTGTCCTCACCACTTCTGGTAGAGCCAGCAAGTCTTGGCTCGCCTGGCAGCTGGTACACTTGTGGCCAGAAGGAAGGAAGGGCGCTCCTGGGGGGTCCCTCACCAGGCCATGAACAGCTCCATGGGATGGACACCAGGAGAGAAATCCCTGCCAGCTTCCAGAGGAGGTGTCCATGAGAGGGTCAGTGTCAGCTGCATTTGTATGGCCAGTCCGTGCAAGCTGAGGGGTGCAGATCTCCACGCGTCTCTGAACTGCCAGTGGCCAGAGCAGAGCGGGCTCCCTCCAGGCTGGCTGAGTCCCTGCTCTCCACTCAGCCCTGAGCGGGGTCCAATGGAGATGCAGCCTGATGACCCAGTCTGAGGTCACATGGAACCCGTATGAGAGTAGGAGTCATCCATTGCGCCAACTTGGGCTCCTGGCATGGTGTCTTCATGGTGGGTTCAGCTGGCCCCGCCTTACAAGGTGACTTGTCCTGACCACAAGGGGACCACAGGCTGCCAGCAGGAAGCAGGGCCCCGCAGTCCTGGGGAATGTGAGAGGAAAGCAGAGAATCTGTCGGAAGAGAGACCCTGTGACTGGGACGGCCGAGCCCCGCCTGCCAGGGCGGAAGAGGATGTTCGAGTCCCCGGGGGTCTCAGCGGGTTGTCAGCCCCTTGACACTTCCAACTTCTCCATTTTCTGACCAGCTGCGATTCAAGAACCAAGAGAAGTCAAACAAGGAAGCAGCCAGCACAGAGAAAAAGCAGAAGTGGGGGCCCACGGTACTGTGCACCTCGCTGAGTGGGCCTGCCAGCTCGGGTCCAGCGGGGGCCTGGCTCTGCGGCCACGGTGACACCTATGCAGGAGGGATGACCTCTCGGGGCCCTGCCGTGGGGCTGACCTCAGCGCTGCTGCTTCTCTGGCTGCCAGGTGAGAGGCTCCCCGCCCCCTCCGGGGAGGAGTAGGAAGGGTGTCACATGGGACCCTGCACGGAATGTGGAGTGGGTTGCCTTCTGTCCATCGTGTGAGATGGGTGGACAGAAGGACCCCAACCCCAGGAGGGGAAGGGGTGAGTGTCTCTTCCTCCTCTGCCGCTGCCTGGGCCACAGAGGGGTGCGAGGCAGAGGCAGGGAGGGTACCCAGAAGGGGTGCGGAGGAGTTGAAGTGTGTTGGTGTCAGGAGGGATCAAGAAAGAGGCAGTTGTCCCGAGAGGGGAAGGATGGCCACAAGGAGTACACAGATTGCTGGAAGGCTCTGCAGTTTGGGGGTGTGGACGAAAGGTGGAGACAGGGAGGAGCAGGTGTTAGGGTGTGCAGACTAAGCCAAGGTGGCCCTGCAGTGTGCTGGGCAGGTGGCAGCTCCAGGGAGGGGGTGGGTATTCAGGGAGGCAGAGGAGTGGGGAGGGGAGGTGAGCAAGGGGCGAGGGCTTGGTCTGGGAGAGGCTCCGGGGTCTTCTGGTCACAGCTCGCCCTCTGCTCATGCGGGGCCCCTGGCAGGTCCTGTAGTCTGGGCAAGTTGAGTCCCGGGAGAGTCAAAATCTTTTTGGCTGCATTTCTCGTAAGTCACACGTTCCTTCTCTTGCGGCTGTGGCCCCACGCAGAGCACTCACTTTCTGCGGGTTCATGGACATGGGGGCGTCTTCCCACGGCCAGTGTCTTGTTGGTTCCCCTGGGATTCCTTTGGGACGGGCTCTCCTCCCCTGCACAGGGGATGGCCTGGACTCGTGTCACAGCTACACCGTGGTAGGGACCTCTGATAGGATTTTCTCTGCAAAAGCTTAAGCACAATTGGAATTGTTCCTTCCTTGAACTTGTAAAACTGTCCCAGGTTTGTGCATTTTTGGGTGGGGATGAGGAGGCAGGAAGGAACTCCCTGAAAACCCTGCCACTGATCTTGCTTTTATTTTTTTGCTTGAAAGACTTACAGAGACACAGAAAGAGAAGGAGGTTTTCCGTGCTCTGGTTCACTCCCCAGATGGCCACAGCAGCTGAGGCTGGGCCAGACTGGAGCCCTGAGCCTGGCCCTCCATGTGGGTCGCCCCTGTGGGTGCAGGAGCCCCGAGCCCCTCCTCCTTGTGGGTCGCCCCTGTGGGTGCAGGAGCCCCGATCCTGGCCCTCCTTGTGGGTGCAGGAGCCCTGAGCCTGGCCCTCCATGTGGGACACCCATGTGGGTGCAGGAGCCCTGAGCCCCCCTTCTTGTGGGACACCCCTGTGGGTGCAGGAGCCCCGAGCCCCTCCTCCTTGTGGGTCGCCCCTGTGGGTGCAGGAGCCCTGAGCCTGACCCTCCATGTGGGACACCCCTGTGGGTGTAGGAGCCCTGAGCCTGCTCCTTGTGGGTTGTCCTTGTGGGTGCAGGAGCCCAAACACTCTGGCTGTCCTCCACTGCTTCCCCAGGTGTGTTCACAGGGAGCTGGATTGGAAGTAGAACAGCCAGGACTCGAACCAGCGCTCATGAGATGCTGACTTCCCAGGTGGCAGCTAAGCCCACTATGCTGTGATCCGTTATTGATTTTAAAAAGACCCAGGAGGGAGGCATTTGGCACAGTTGTTAAAATATCTAAGTCTTATAATGGAACGCCTGGGTGTGAGTCCTCGCTCTACTTTACAGCCAATTTCCTGAGGGGCAACAGGTGATGGAGACAAGTGTGCCTGGCGCTAGGGTCAGATGCTCTGCCAGCCCATTGAGGTCCTGGCTTGTGTGCCTGTGGTCAGGCCCAGCGGGGCAGTCAGGCTGGGATAGCCTACCAGGGAGCAGGCAGCTTTGCTGCAAGTGTAGAGGCCCCTGGGGGAAGTTGGGGGGCTAAGGGGAGAGGCCATTGTGATGAAAATCCTGGGGTGTCTGAGTGGAGGGGAAGGTGCTGGAGCTCTGAGCAGGTGGATGGGGTTGACATGAGGGGAGAAGTGGGGGGCCGTTTGGAGAAGGTGACCCTAAGCACTGACCCAGATCCACCTGGTGAGGACCTGTCCCTGGCTTGTGTCTTCCAGGCTGTTTGTCCCTGAGCTGCCCCAGAGTCGTGGCAGGCACAGTCGGGGGCTCCCTGAGTGTGCAGTGTCACTATGAGGAGAAATATAAAAACCACAGAAAATTCTGGTGCCTTCAACCGTGTTGGGCAAACTGGGAGATCGTGAAGACAGAAGTGTCAGAGAGAGAAGTGTGGAATGGCCGTGTGTCCATCAGGGACCATCCTGCAAACCTCAGCTTCACAGTGACCCTGGAGGAGCTCCGCCTGCAGGACGCGGGCACATACCAGTGTGGGATCGATATAGCATTGAGATGGGATACCACCTTCTTGGTTGAGGTGCGCGTGTCCCCAGGTGAGTGCCAGGACTGCTGCAGTGGGCACAACTGGAGAGACCTGGACTTGGAGCCAACTGTGTGTTTGTGTAGGAGGGAGGTGCGGGGAGAGGAAGGGAGGCAGGGAGGCCTGCAGGAGCAGCTGCAGCCTCAGGGACCCAAGTCCCACGGAAGGTGTGCATGAATCAGTCGGAAACCCAGGGCTGAGCAGTTGGGGTGGGGTGCAGGGTGGGGCAGGTGACAAGTCAGGTGGCAGCACATGGCTGTGGTTGGATGGGTGAGACCCGGCTTGGTGGGGGTGACAAAGGACTCCTTGGAGGGCCCCCTCCCCACGGGCAGTGTGGAAGCAGGGGTGCTGGGGCGGTTTCTGTGTTCTGGTCAGGAGAGCCCCGCAGGCCCTGGGGTCCTGGGCCCCCTTCCCTGGAGAGCCTTCTGTGTACAATCAGACCAAGCCATGGGAGCGCCACAGATGAGATCCCAGTGTCTGATTCGGGGTTTTGCCACCAGCACTGACAACGATGACGTCACCAACACCTGCAGATACCACTGCCACCTGGACCACAATCAGCATGACGACAGTGCCAACTGTGGCATCCACTGTGTCAGCTGCAGACAGTGCCAGCAACCAGGAGGGCCACCACAGGGACCACGGCATTGGGTAAGGCATCCTCGCCCCGACCTTGTCCTTGGCCCGCTTCGTCCTGGGCATCCAGCTGGGATCAGAACCCACATCCCTGCTGTTTAAGGCTTAGGCGGGAGACTGAGGTGTGTCTGTCCACGTCGGCCTGCTGAGGCCACACTGGACACCCTCAGAGGGTGGGGGCAGAAGGGGAGGCAGAGGTCATGAACATGGGTGACGTCCTCTTAGCCCCATCTGTGCTGAACGTGAGCTCTTGATTTTCTCTTTGGTTCCTTACTGTCACCTGTACCATCATTGTGCCCATTTTACAGATGGGCAAACCAAGGCTCGGAGATCTTCAGTGATTTGCCCCCTTCAATAGCTATAAGCACCAAGGCTGGGCTCAGGTTTAGGGGACCCTCAAGGGGCCAAGCTCTTCTAAGCAGTGATTCTTTGCATTTCCTGAAGTCACCGGCCCCACCAAGAGTATGGTGACATTTAAAGACCCTCTGTCCACCCTGACACCCTCTGGGACACCACTGGACAGGTGTCACTGACCACCCAGGATTGCCAGGACCCCATGGGTTAAGGGCTCTGTCCTTCACCCTTGTGTAGGTGCCAGCTGTACTTTGGGGATCCCAGGCTATGGGAGTGCCCATGACCCCTGAGTTTATTCATTCCTTGGACTCAGAAACATGGAAAGTACTATACAGGGAGACTTGGAGAGCTGTGGAAAAGAGGAACAAAATATAAGTGTATTTTGACACCAAATGTCTTAAATTCATATATATATATATTACATCACGTATGTTCAATGAACTGTTGAACAACTTTTTAGCTCTATTTTTTATGAGCTTTTAAAAGCGTTATCTATCTATTTGTTTGGAAGGCAGAGCATCAGAGACAGAGAGACAGGGAGAGACACAGAGAGATCTTCCATCCGCTGGCTCACTTCCCAGGAGCCCACGTCAGCCAAGGCTGGGCCAGGCCAAAGCCAGGAGAAGGGAACTCCATGCAGAGTTCTCAAGTGAGTGGCAGGGACTCCGGTATTGGAGCCATCTCCCGCTTCCCCTCAGACACGTCAGTGAGACCCTGGGTAGGGAGCTGAGCAGCTGGGACTCAAGCCGGGGCAATCAAGTAGTGGCTTAGCGTGCTGCACCACATGTGAGCTAGATAAGTTCATAACATGTCTGCACTAAGACAAACTTATATTGTAATTTTGTCTTCCCTGGACTTTTCAGAGTGACCTCATAGATTCATATTTGCTTGTATAGAAATAAAATGTCTCTGGAAGATTCTAGAATACTGTGTGTGTGAGAGAGAGAGGTGTAGGTGGTAGAAAAGATTATGGGGCATGGCATGGTAGCCTAATGGCTAAATCCTTGCCTTGTATGCCCAAAATCCCACATGGATTCGTATCCTGGCTGCTCCGCTTCCCACCCAGCTCCCTGCTTGTGGCCTGGGAAAGCAGTGGAGGACAGCCCAAAGCCTTGGGACCCTGCATCTGCATGGGATACCTGGAAGAGGTTCCTGGCTCCTGGCTTCAGATCGGCTCAGCTTTGGCCATTGCAGCTGCTTGGGGAGTGAGCCAGTGGATGGAAGATCTTTCTCTCTGTCTCTCTAGGAAAAATAAATACATTTAAAAATGAAAACAAAACAAAAAAAAGATTATGGCATCTATTTTAATTGTCACTTCTGTATTTGAGAAAGAGAAGTAAGCAGTGTTCCGTTTTTTAGAAGACATTTATTTTTATTGGAAAGGCAGATTTACAGAGAGAAGGAGAGAAATATTTTTCATCTGCTGGTTCACTCTCCAAGTGGCTGCAGTGGCTGGAGCTGAGCCGATCCAAAGCCAGGAACCTCTTCTGGGTCTCCCACACGGGTGCAGGGTCCCAAGGCTTTGGGCCATCCTCGACTGCTTTCCCAGGCCACAAGCAGGGAGCTGGATGGGAAGTGGAGCAGCTGGGACACAAACTGGCACCCATATGGGACGCTGGTGCATTCCGGGGAGAATTGGCCAGTTGAGCCATTGTGCTGGGCTCAGGTAGAGTGTTCCTACTTTATCTACTAGTTCACATCATGACTCCTGTGCCTGCAAAGGTTGGGCCTGGAGCCAGAAACTCTATCCAAACGTTATGTATGAAGGGCCGTAGTTGAGCCATCACCTGTTCTCTTCCAAGGTTGTGAATTAGCAGGAGGCGGGAATCAGGGCAGGCAGTTGAAGCCAGGTGTTGGGTGTTCGACCCAGGTGCCAGGCTAGAGGACTGCGCCTCCTGCTGGTGACTTGAGAAGCCAGGGGAGGCAGGCTGTCCCGGGCAGGCCGGCCACCCAGTCTCGCACCTCCCCTCCAGGCTCCCGCTGCTGCTCTCCCTGTTAGCCCTCCTGCTGCTGCTCTTGGTGGGAACCTCCCTGCTGGCCAGGCGGATGCTTCAGAGACAGGCCAAAGGTGAGCTCCCTCCGCTGCCCCTGACCTACGGACATCTCTGATCACACAGGCTGGGGGCCCTTGGCCGGTGGGCCCCTGGAAGTCTTCCTAGAAGCGGGGGCCTTTTCTGCTGCCGGTGAGGGATGGGCTGTGATTCTTCAGAGAAGCTGTGTCCACTTCTGCTTTCACTCCAACCCTGGTACCTTCCCATGAACGTATTATTACTATTATGTAACATCTCCAGCCACAGGCAGCAGGCACCCAGGACACTCAAAGCTTTAGCCGCCCTTCTCTGAGCTCTGAGAAGCAGAGAGCTAACACAGTGCACACACAGCACCATGTCCAGGGTCAGGAGGATGGTGTTCAGGGAACAGCCGATGGGCAAATTGAACATGGGAAAGGAGGCAGGTACAGCGTGGCAGCAGGAACTGCAGTGACCCCAGTAGGAGCCGCCTCTGGCCCAGGTAGATGGAGGGTGAGCCCTAGGGTTCCTCCATGCTCTTTGTATTAGAGAGAGAGAGAGAGAGAGACTCGGTCTCCAATGTATTGGTTCGCTCCCTGAATGACCATGATGGCCAGGGCTGGACCAGGTTGAAGCCAGGAGACAGGAGCCTCATCCGGTCTGCCGTGCAGGTGGCAGAGGCCCAAGCACTTGGCTCATTCTCTGCTGCTTTCCCAAGTACATCAGCAGGGAGCCGGACCGGAAATGGAACAGCCGGGACTTGAACTTGCGCTCATGTGGGGTCACCAGTAATGCAGGCAATGTCCTTACCTGCCTCCTGCTTTGTGAGCAGAGGCTGTGAGGACTGTGTCTGCAGCGGCTGGAGTCTTTCAGGGCCGAGGGAGATCGAGGCAGGGTTGAGGGGCTTGGGTTGCTGCAGGTCCTGTAGTATAGGGGGTGCCACTGCCTCCCAGTCTGAAAGGCACTTCCTGTCCTGCGGGGCTCAGCGTCACCCCCTGCATGGCCCGGGCTTTGGGGGTGCTGGAGGGGGAAGCCCAGCCTGCACTTCCTCCTCCTCCTCTGTCATCTCTCTGGTCCCCCCCTTCCACACGCTTGCCACAGCCAGGTTTTCCCAGCCTGGGGGCCTCCCAGCTGTGGCTCCCAGCAGTCGCCTCGGTTGCCCTTTCACCCAGAAGCAGGGCTCTGCCATCAGTACAGGAAGGATGAGGAAGACATGAGCAAACAAAGAAGGGAATAAACTCCCTGTGGCCAAAATTCACACTCCACCACCCCAAAAAACCCAGCCCGCCGCACGTGTCCTGCAGTCTGGTCTCTCCTGTACCTACTACGTGTGTGCCCAGGAGTCCTTCAAAAGTTGGCTGCACATCCCAAGTCCTCTTTTAAACTGGGATCTTTGTACTTGAACCATTTCCCCTGCTCTTTTATGTAGTTTTAAAAGAGACAGAGACATCCTCCATGCTCACTCCCCAAATGGCTTCACTGGCGGGGCTGGGCTAGGCTGATGCCAAGAGCTCCACCCTGGTCTCCCACATGGGCAACAGGGACCCGACCAAGCACTTGGGCCCATCTCCCGCTGCCTTCCCGGGTGCACTAGCGGGGAGCTGGATGGGAAGCAGAGCAGCCGGAATGTTGACATCACAACCAGTAGCTTCGTGTGCTGTGCCATGCCATGGGCCCCTCCCGGCTCCTCAAGGCTCAGCAACCACAGAGCTGGCCCGCATGTGTGGGCAGCTTACACCTTGGCTTACCCTAAGTCACTGTCCAAACGCCTGGACTCCCCGTCTGCTGCTTTGCATGTCCCTGTCCTCTGCACCCCCACCCTAGGTCTGATCCACCCACATTCAGCCTGCTCTCTTCAGCCATTCATTCACTTATTCATTTCAAAACTCTTTCCTGAACACCTGCTGTGAAGGCCTGTGCTGGCCTGGGGGACACCCTCGTGACCGGGGTAGGGTGGGCAACACCTCCCATGAACTTCCTGTGAGGCTGGCTGCCCACAGACCTGCTCACAGCCTCGCTCCTGCTCCAGCCTGCAGCTCCCGTCTCCTCCCCGCCTCCCTCAGCACACCCGCTCCACACGGGGAGGGCACACAGAGCAGTGGGGAGCAGAGCGCCCGGCTCCTGTTCTGTATCAGCTCAGGTCTCAGCACATTGGTCATGCATGCTCTGTGCCTCCCTTTAACCCCAGGGCTCCCTAGAGGGAAAGCAGGGTCTCTCCCAGCAGCGTCCAGTGCTGAGGGCCCTGGACTGCCTGACTTGGACCTAGACCAAGGACATCCACCTGTGCTCACCTCACCCACTGCCACTCACTGGCGCCTGGATGAAAGGGTCGGGGTGGTGCCGATGTTGTGGCACAGCGGGTTGAACTGCCACCTCCAATGCTGGCCTCCCATATGGGTACGGCTGCTTTACTTCTGGTCTAGCTCTCTGCTAAATGCACCTGGCAAAAAGAGGATGGGCCAAGTGCTCAGACCTCTGCACCCATATGGGAGACCCAGATGAAGCTTCTGGCTTCTGCTTGGCCAGCCCTGGGTTGTGAGTCAGTGGAGCAAAATTTTCTCTCTCTGTAATCCTGCCTTTCAAATAAGTAATCTTTTTTTTTTTTAAATGAATGGCAGGAATCAGGTGTGCAGAGCTGGACATAAAGGCGGGACACCCCCCGCCCCCCGGCCAGCGCGGCAGGTGCTGGAAGCCGAAGTTTGGCTGAGTCTGAGCTGGGATTCTCTGAGTCCTTGAGCCTCCTTCCCAGAGGCCTCTGGGGCAGCAGGCGTCTGAGGAATGGAGCTGTGGCTCAGGGTGGTACCACAGACACCCCAATGACTGCTTGTGGCTTTGTGCAGTTTCAGATCTCTATAAGGACCCCCTTGGGGGTCCGGCTCCCCCTCCTACCTTCCCCCCCAAACCACCCAGTCATGTTTCCGTGACTATTTGGACACCTCACTCTGGCTGTTCTCCATTCACTAATTCACTCACTCAGCGAACCCCAGAGTGGCTGCCACACTGACACCCGTGGGGCAGGTGCCCAGGGCTGACTGAGGTCTCCAGGGAAAAGCCTGTCCCTGTTCGGGGGCTCAGCCTCCTTCCTCTCCTCATGTCCCCTAGGTGGACAGCATCCAGAGCCAGTCCAGAGCACCGGGCAGGTAACGAAAGGCCATGAAGGAGGAGGGTGCTGGGGTGGCAGAGGAGGGGCACGGAGGCTGTTGGGGGCTGCTCAGGCCCTTCTGCTGGTGGAGGTTCTGGGAAGACCCTAGATGGCTCAGGTGCATGGCCCAGAGATCTGTACCCTCCCTGCTAGGGGCAGCGCAAGGTGGAGGGGTCTTCTGGGTGGATCTGCCCAGAGCCGGACATGGGGTGGCAGAGGAGGCAGGGCTAGGAGGCTGAGGCACCCACAGTGGGGAGGGAAGGCTGGCAGGAGGGATGAGCCCAGAAGCAGGGCATGGTGGGGTTGCTCGCGGATCCCTACCAAGCGCTACGCGTCCTGCCCACCCCAGGTGGCAGAGGCTCACTATGCCAACCTGCAGCTGCAGCCACTGCGCCCGCGGGAAGGACCAACTCCCGCCAGGCAGCAGGAAGTGGAATACAGCACCGTGGTAAGCACCACGCCCAGTGGGGGCGGGAGCAGGCAGAGATGGAGAAGGGGTGTGGATTTTGCCAGAGCCCATCCCCACCTGTCCCTACCCTGGCCCTGGTGCCCACTGAGTCCCTTCCCAGACATGCTGAATCACCTGCTGGGGAACAGGGGCTTGGCTCCGAGGGACATATCTACTGGCTCTGTCCACCCAGGGGACGGAGGACTCCATCCTGCACCTTTCTGGGTTCCTGGAGAGCCATGCCCTGCCCCACCCCTGCCAGCTGTCTGCAGGACAAGCCACTCATCTTGGCTTCCTCTGCCAGGTCCTCTGTGGAGCTGGCACAGTCGGGGCCCTTGCTGGTGGCTCCTGGCCATGTGTCTGGAGTCCCCTGTGACCAGCTAGCCTAATGCTTTCTTCACATGACACGTTCTTGTGGCCACACAGCACCTGGGCCCTGGAGCAGGCTGGCTTTTATGACTCGATGATGAGACTTCAAGTCTCCTTGCTACAGGCCAGCGTTGTGTCCGCAGCACACAGGGTTTATCAGTGCCCTGTGCTGGCCAGGCTGTCTGGGGCCTGAGGAAGGAAGGGACTCATGGCTCGGGGGTGACCTGGGGGGAGCCTGGCCTACCCCGTGGGATGGACGGAGCTGGGTCTGCTTTGAGCATCCCAGGGACCACAGTGTGCTGTGGCTGGCACAGGCAGACAGGCAGCCTCCACTGCACAGCCCCTGAGGCTCCCTCGGGAGTCTCCCTGCTGAGCTGCATGCTGCCCCGCCCTGTCTCCTCCTATTGTTGCAGGCCCTCCGAAAGCAAGATGAGATACACTACTCCGTGCTGACGTATGACACACAGCCGCAGAACCGCCCCGCAGGCGGCACCCCTGCCCAGATGCGCGCCAAGGAGGAACCCGTTTACACCATGATTCAGAGACCCAGGGGCTGCCCCTGAGTTGCTCCCCTCCTCCCACAGCGTGCTCCCCTCCATGGTGACTGATGGGCAGCTGGGCTTCCCTACTGCTGACCCTCCTATTCCACCAGCTGGGCTGGGACGCTGGGAGCGGCAGGAAACCCCCTCCTCCTCCGTTTTTTTCTCTTTTTCCCTACTTCCCTCTGGTTCTGTATGTGGGGGGAGAGGCATGCAGCTCCTTGCCCCCATGGCTCCAGGAGGCGACAACTCCTGCAGGGCAGGCCCGCGGCTCGGGAGACCTGGCAGGGGCCCACATGCATGGGGACGTGGGGACACCACAGAACCTCCTCTTTCCCAGCTCATCCACGAGAGAAGCAAGGCCCATTATTAGTTTTATCTCAGTGTAAGAGATACAAACAGGGGCTGGTGTTGTGGTATAGTGGGTAAAACCACCACCTGCAACAGCAGCATCCCACATGGGCACTGGTTCGATGCCTGGCTGCTCCACTTCCAATCCAGCTCCCTGCTAATGCTCCTGGGAGAGCAATGGAAGACGGCCCAAGGGTTTAGGCGCCTGCACCCATGTGGGAGACTTGGGAGAAGCTCCTGACTTCAGCCTGGCCCAGCACAGGCCATTGTAGCCACCTGGGGCATGAACCAGCAGGTGAAAGATTCTATGTAACCCTGCTTTTTAAAATATTTTTAAACAAGAGATACAAATAAAGTTATTAAGAGAGAAGGAAGACAGCAATCGTAGATTAAAGGAAGCCGCGGGCATGGGGATGCTTGGGCAGGGAGGGGCGGTGCTGGGACTGGGGACATCCCGTCCATGCTGTCATCAGAGGGAGATTCTGACAGGGCTGCTTCCCCGCGGACAGACAGCACAGCTGAGTAATTGTGCTGGGTAGAGTTCAGATGTAACACAATCGGCTACTGGGTGTGTGAGGTGGCTCTCAGTCCACCTTCCCCACTCTCTGGGCCATGACGTCTCTGATTTTCTTTGGACTGTTGATGTCGTTTTGACTTTCTGTTTATGGAAGCTTGGCCAGCCTTTCCCTTGAGTGGAGTGTCTGCATGCTGATGTCCTAAGCAGATCAGGCCCCCAGGGTGGTTTTCCATGGGATGTGGCCCTAGGCTTCCAGAAGGATCTTGAAGGGCGAGTGGGTGGCGTCTCCTTTAGATTTCTCATGATTCGTGTGTACACGGCGTGTGGTATCTCATCTTTTCTTCTTCCTTGTAGTGATGCTTTGAGATGCAAAAGGGGAACCACAGACACACTGTGCCCACCGCGAGGCCCATGGGGTGCAGGATGATGGGAAGGGCTGGTCTCAGTTACAGAGGCCAGGGGTGCAGTTCACAGCGCTCCCATGCTTTCAGGTCAGCCCGAGGCAGTGGCTAGGTGGGACACCTGGCTAAGGGGACTTAGCACAGCATCAGTACCACCCTGGCTATTCATCTAGACCCCAGGCAAGCACGTGGGATCCTTCCTCTGGGGAGGAAGAAGTCTCAGAGACAGGGTGGCAGGGAGGAGGGAGGGGACCCCATTTCTGGGTGTGGACTGACTCATTCTGGGAAAGTCCTGTTTCTATTACACAATGAAACACTCCTTCCCTCCTCCCCTCCCCAGGCCGTGGCCGTTTCTGCTTCCTCTATCTGCTTTTTTGCCCTCCTGGGATAGGCCAGCGCAAGGGCAGCCAAGGTGAAGGACAATAGCACCTTCCAAAAAGAAGCACCAGAGTGGCCATCAGGGCTGATGGCACTGTCGGGGCACGAGTAAGGCCCAGGGTGGGTGTGGGTGCAGCAGTTTAGATGCCATGTGGAATGACCACATCCCCGATCAGGGCATCTGGTTAGAGTCCTGGCTCCACTCTCAATTCCAGCTTCCTGTTGATGTGCGCCGAGAGGCCACTCAGGTCATTGAGTCCTTGCCGTCCACTTAGGAGACCCAGTGAAGTGCCAAGCTCCTGACAGGCCTGGCCCAACTTCACAGCTGCTGCGGGCACTGGGAAGAGAAACAGCAGCTAGCAGCCCTGTCTCTGTGCCTCTGTGCCTTCCAAATACACAAAACACATTTTTGTTTTTTTAAAGTCAGGGCGGTGGGTCCTGTTTCTTCTGACCCTGGACTTGGGAGTGAAGCGGGGAGAGGGGTAAGATGCAATGAGGAACTGTTGATCGAGCATCCACTTTCTCTGGGTGTTCAGATGCAACGCCATCTCAGAGGATTCCCATCCGTCTTGGGTGGGGTGTGAATGCATGTGCGGTTAGATTACAGGAAGCCTGTGGGGAGAGTGAGAAACTGAAAGACATCAGAACCTAAACGGAGCCACTGGTGTCCAACCCTAAGAAGACCGAGGTGGGAGGCCGTGGTCTCTGTTGCCTGTGGCTTCATAGAACTCCCAGGACTGGGCAACAAGGCTCATTAGGCTGGAAGATCTGATGTCTGGCCAGCTCAAGATGAGGTGACCACACTTGCTGAGGTCCTTCCTGCTGGAGGGGACTCTTCTGGGTGTCACATGGCAAGAGGGGAACCTTCCAGAGAGCACCCACAGGATCCCGGTTCCACTGATCCCTGGCCCACTGGACCCCCATCCTATTGACCCCTGGCCCATGGGACTCCCGCCTTATTGACTCCTGGCCCATGGGATCCTTGCCCAATGAGACCCCTGCCCTATTGACCCCTGGCCCATGGGACCCCTGCCCTATTGACTCCTGGCCCATGGGACCCCTGTCCCACTGACCCCTGAGCCACGAGATGCCCTGCCCTATTGACCCCTGCCCCCATGGGACCCCTGGCCCACAGAACCCCTGCACCATTGACCCCTGGCCCACGAGACCCCTGTGCCACTGACCTCTGAGCCCAAGGGTCCATTACTCTGTGACTGGCTCCTCCCATTCAGAGGGTGGAGTTCCTGAGACCTCATCACTGCCTATGCCCTCACCTGGTTCCACCTGGTGGTGCCTGGAGCGGGGATTGAACTCCAGCGTGGCTTTTGGTGGGGACGTAGGAGCCACAGCAGTCACAAGTGGCGGGGATTCCTCGTGTGTATCTCTCAAAATCACCAGAGACTGTTGAGCCATCAACAAGCCCACTTGTATGAGGGCTCCTGCCCTGCCCTGCCCTGTCCCGCCTGGCAACATCCTGTGCTGGCCTTTATAGCCCTGGGGAATTGTTTCAAAGCCACTGATGTCACCTTTCTCTTTCTGCCTTCAAAAGCCCTTGCCTTCCTCTGCCTTCTGGGTGCAATGGATGACCCCCAGGGTCACCACGACCGGAGTGTCCTAGGTCGCAGTCCCTCGGTCTCTTGGATTGGAGGGTGCTGGGGTGGAGGCCCTGAGCAAACCACGATGCATTGTGAGGAGGGCAGGGGGAGACTGGGTCCCCGTGTGTCTGTGCAGTCACTTCTCTGCATACACTCCGCCAATGCCAGGCTTAAGCAGACGGCCCGATCTTGGACTGGGACCCTCCAAAGCCTTCCTCCCTAAGTCCCTCCTCTCAGTTTAAAGCCTTGAAATCTGATTAATTCAGGCCGAGGATGGGATGGGGATATCTGGTGAGGGTCTTTTTGTTCCTTATAAAATGTAGCAGAAGCATCTTTGGGCAGGAGAGCATCTGAGGGGCACATTTTTACAGGAAAGCTGCTCCCATGAGAACTAACTGGTGACCTCATGGTCTAATCACCTCCTGCAGGTCCCACCTCCTAAGCCCACCACTTTGGAGGAGACATTGGAGCCATAACAGAAACAATCCAACATTGTGTAGCAACAGGGGCACGTCCTGGGCAAGTGTCATTAGGAGATGGTGTTTCTGTGCCGATGTTACAGTGTTTTTACCTTCTGGAGGCCTGCTCTCGATGTTACAGTGTTTTTACCTTCTGGAGGCCTACTCTTGATGTTACAGTGTTTTTACCTTCTGGAGGCCTGCTCCTGCTGACTCGAGAGCTTGCAAAGGATGAGTGGATCGGCGAGAAGACAAGAAGAGGCAGAGGAGGCATGGACCACTATAGCATGATGCTCATAATGGACAACTCAGAAAAGTTGCCTTCTTTATTTATACACAAATATCACAGGCTTTTGCACAATATCCAATTGTTTTATTTTTACTTCCATTATAAAAGAATGATTATAAAACCAATCCTAAAAAAACATTATTATTATTTTACATCAGAGAAAATATTTTCAGCAAGCTATTAGTCATTCAAACCTGCAGTGACCTGGCTGAAGCCAGGAACTCCACAGTTGGCAGCACATACGGTTACGTAGTGACAAGTGGTTACTTATATCCAAAATCAATTTTCACTAAACATAAACTAATATTACTTAAAATATCAAGAGTACAGAATTAAATGGAAAGCTCATAAACGAAAAGAGTTTATAAAGGCATATCACAGATTCTTTATTAAATCTTATATTCAATCATGCATTAATTACCATCACCTTCACCTAGTGCTGATTCAATTGTTTTTTGTTCTTTTGTTAAAGGGCAGTGAAAGGAATCAAGGCAGCTCAGCCATTCCACAAACAGAGGGCCTTTACAAGAAACTTAACTATAAGTGCCAATATAAGGTAGAAGTTTTTATAAACCATTTTCTTTCCCTAACTATAAGTGCCAGTATAAGATAGAAATTTTAAGCCATTTTTGGGGAGGTTCACATTTGTCTCCCTTTGGAAGATGTCCCATATACTTTCTGCTTTTCCTGGTAAGAAACCAAAATGTGTCATTTCATGTGTTGTAACTGTTTGAGGCACATGGTGAACAAATTCTTTGTACCTCTATGATTGCCATCTGTTCCAAGATAATATCAAGTCATTTCTTAAGGAAAACGTTACTTATATTAGGGCAAGCTCCAGACAAAGGTGGGCACATAACAGGATGTTTGGAGGTGCTTTTAACTGTGTGTCATTGCCTTACATCACTAAAGATGTTTTTATCATAACATGATTCATCAGCTTGAGGTGTTATACCAGTTACAGGAATCATCTCACATTTGCAGAAAAACAACAACACCCTCAGAAGAATTCTATGAAACATCAGAGAGGTGATTGAGTGTCCATGCAATGGGGTGAGGCAGCAATGAGGTGACCAGAGACATTCTGCCGGGCCTTGCCTCGCAGCCAGAAACTCCTTGTAGCCTTGCTAACTGAGGAGCGGTGCTCATCACACACCCATGCCATCCGACCCAACTGCACGGCTTCCCACACTTACCCAGGCTGGATGCCATAGTCTGTTATAGCTCTGGGCTAAGTGGAGGTGAATAAGGCATTGCCTGAGGCTCCTTGGGCCATACTGAGCAGAAAAGTACAATATTAAATCAGACGTAAGAGAAACATGTTCCCCAGCTGTAGGCAACTTCTGGAGCCTTCCATGGGCCAGGCACTGTACTCACAGATAGGCAAGGGAGCTGAGGCAAAGTGGCTTGGTGTGGGAGGCCCCAAGGGCATGTCTAGGTCAGGCCAA